TCATTAGTCATGAAATATTTTTCTTTTGTTCCTCCCTCCCCTGCGATTATTTAGAAGCACAGAAACATTCTTCACTCACAAGGTCTATAAAAATAAAATTCTTGCTGGCCTATGTTTGACCTGGGAGCTGTGGTTTGCTGACCTCTGGTTTAGATCTCTGTCACACACAAGCAAAATTATTCAGAAGAATCTGTTCAAACACTGATACACTGCATTTTAGGATCTTACTACCTTAATATTTTCTCAAGAATCTAGAATGTTTAAAAAGAAAATAATCCATCACATTCCTCTGATGATTTGATTACACACCCAAAGACATAGTCAAATACTCTTCTGAGTTCCATTTGCGGTTCTGGTACTTGATTATAGATATTGACAAGCAAATGATGAAACTAGAGTAATTGAATTGGTTCAATGTAAACGAGCAAGATTTATCTAAAAGCCTTTCTCTTTGGGGGTTTTAAAACAATTATGGCTAAGGTAATTGTATTTTAAGATAATATATCAATCTTAAATATAGACCCACTTAACAATATGAAAATAGGGGTTATATATGCTTAAAAGTAGTTTCAGCATAAATCCTGAGCTGCATCACAACGGAAAGTCCCTGCTGATTTGCATGCTTTCAAGGGGGCACACCTCAGTACATACACATTTACCAAATCCTGTGAATCTTTATCCCCTAAAATATATGCACTGTTGTAAACCAATGACACCCCAATAAAATAATTTAAAATTAAGAGGACTTACTGAACAGCTGAAGACATTAAAATTTGTTGAATTATTGGTGTTTTGATAAACATCTCTAATTTCCTTAAATAGAGTGTCCCCAATAAGGCTTTTAATTTGCTGGAATTTTCCTTACCTTATTCATGACTCTTGGGAGAACTCATCTAAAATAGTCTGTGGATATTGGTAAGTTTGGTTTGGATGGGGCCAGTGTTTTTTTAACTCAGACGACTGATATATTACCATTAGTTGGGTTAGGTAAACGTTAAGCTAGTAGGAATTAGGTGAATCTAAATTTGTCATAGAACAGGAATGGCAATTGCATACTCATGATTTTGGACCTTTGTCATTAGACATGTGGTTGTTGTAATCCACAATGGCGTTTCATCTTCCTAGCACCTCACTTTATTTTTTTACTTCTCCATCTATAGAGCCCTTTGCTGAACACTTCTGGGGCTCAAAGCTGTCAGAGTAAATAAATGAGTAAAGCAGGGGTACTCGTTGGAAGAAAACATGCAGCTGGAGATGGTAAAGGTACACCAGTATTACTTCTTTTTCAGCATTGCTCTTAATCTGTCCTCAGTGTGGTTTGCAAGCCAGCTAGCCTCACAACTTTTTATTTTACCATGATAAACCTGAGTGGGCAAGAGGATCTATTAATATTTGAACTACAGAGGACACAGAGCATTTCAGAAACTGCAAATACCTAGAAAACCAAAAATGATAATCAAGCATATTGTTAGGTTCTATGTATCGTTTTTATAAGTGGGATGCATCATTTGCCTGAGTTTCTTAAATTCAGGAAGTTTTAGCAAAAATGGATCAACTCAACCAGTTTTATGTTCTAGAAGGATAAAATGTTGCTCCTGGAGTTAAAAAAATCAAAACCTGTTTGTTTGAAATGGTTTATATATAAAAGATCTTATAACTGCTTTTTTCCACATATACTCTCTTTTTAAAAAGATTATTTCTGGGGAATATGTTGGCACTTTCAAATCAGAAAGAAGACTTGTGGTGGGGAAGGAGAAAATGATGAGAGCAGTTGGTCTGTTAATGCATTTTCAGCAGGCAGGCAAGGTGTGAAGTGTAGTGGCCATAGATCAAAACCCAGCTCAAAAACTGTTTTCTCAAGATTTACCCACAGTCCCACTGTCTAGTTTAAAAAAAAAAAAAAAAGCATGATAAATTCGATTGTTTTAGTCATCTGAGCAACTTTGTTTATGAGTAACCCATGTGCTATCGCTTCCTGAGACTGGCACATTCCACCAGTGTATTGAGCTTATTTTCTTTCCCATCAGCCTTGCCTTAGTCTTTATCTTGAGCAGATGCTCATCTGAGCACACAAATTTAGCACTCCTGCCAATGTCAGTCATAGCAGAATTTTTCTTTGTCATCTAGTGTTGTTGAATCTATCACCCAATCTGCCCCTCCCACTCCTTAAATCCTAGGTTTGTATTTGAGTATGAGAATTCAGGGCCTGGTAGGCACTGTTATCTTTGACCATCTGGCGAGTTTTGGATGAATTGATTAAGTTGCTGATTCAGATGCATCCAGAAGGAAGCAGAGAATATTTAACATCTGACTCCTCACCTTATTTCCTTCAAGGCCAGTTCTGCAGGTTTTTGTGCATCTGCTCATTATTCTTTTAAGTGTTTTATGAGTTGTATAGGTAGGTCCTGATTAACAAAACTGGATTTTTAGCCTGTGATGTGTTCCTCATTCCACTGATTTTCCACTTCCTTTTCTTTGTTTTCCTCAGTTACTCTTTATGCTTCTTAAAGGTAGGCATTACATCTTATTTATTTTTCTTTCTGTCATAGTCTGAATAGTGGACCGTCCAAAGATATATCGACATCCTAATCCCTAGAACCTGGTATTGTCACTTTATTTTGAAAAATGACCTTTGCAGATGTAATTAAGGATTTTGAAATCATCTTGTATTATGGCGGGTGGGGCGGTGGGGTGGTTGAGGGTTTGTCTAATGATGAGTGTCCTTGTAAGAGACATACTGAGGAGAAGGTGATATGAACACAGAGAAAGAGATTGGAGTGATGTCAATGCAAGTCATAGAAACTGGCAGCTACCAAAAGCCACAAGCATAGAGCACATTCTCCCCTAGAACTTCTGAGGGGCTATGGCCCTGGAGTACTTTGATATCAGACTTCTGGTCTCCAGAACTATGAGAGAAAAAATTTCTATAATTTTTGCCACACAGTTTATGGTAAGTTGTTATATCAACCACAGTATACTTTATTCACGGGAACTGAAGCAGGACCTGACAGGTAGTTAGGGTCTCAGTGAGTTTTTCAATGTTAGTTAATGATTAGCCACTGAAGCATTTACAAGGAGAAATAGGACAGTCTTACTAAGAATAAGCCCATTTTCGCTTATCCATGCTTTCCCAGTTCACTTCTTTATTGAAGTTAGTAAAATATTCAGGTTAACTGACAAGCTTCTCTGCCTGAGCATTGTTACTGGGATATTGGAAAATAAGTTAGCCTGCATCTTTATTGCCTCATTCAGTTATGAATGGTGAGGGTGACTTTCCAATGAAAAAACAAGATGATCTCCCAGGCTCCTTACTAGTAATTAAGTTGATTTTAGAACGGAGAGCTTACAAACCTTACCTGGAGCACTGTGGTCTCTGCATTCAGAATGTTGAAACCCTCTCCTTCTTGCCTCAGAGCCCTATTTGGATAAATAACAGGCTGCTATATAGATGTGGCTTAAAAGTAACCAATATACATATGGTATTGTCTGTCAATTCCTAACCATTGTGATTTATGAAAAGTCTACATCTGCACACAGCTCTCTAGCAGGGTAAACACTTGTGTTTTAAGTGTATATAGATGAGAAGAGGTGCACAATTAGACATTTTTCAACATTAAAAGTAGAAATGATTCAAAGTCAATATACTGAAATTACCTGGAGTGATTAAAAAAGAACATACCATTATCCACCATGCTGGAAAACCTTGACGGTTTTATTTTCAATATTTTTACATTAATACAGATGCTTTTTATTTTTGTGCTGAGAAAAACAATCCGTTACACATTATGTAACTTTAATATACAACATAGAAACTCATCCTAAATTAGTTACAACAAGGACCTACAAAAAACTTCATAGGAAAAAAAGTTACCTAATATTGCCACCATATTTTTTAGTAGACTGACCCTGTCAGACCCTGTCACCAATGCTCAGCTCTGTAAACAATGGTTATTTCCATGTTCTGGGAATTATTAATAATAGGGGCACTAAAATCAGCCTAAAAATTCTAGCACATCACTACATACTGTACAGTCCTCAAAAATAATTTATTGTACTGTTTCTAAAAAAAGGTACTAGGGGTTTTCTTTTGCTTTGTTTCCATATTCTGGAGCTGCACGTGAGCACTTTTGTCTAACAGTCTAAGAACACGAGAACTGAACCGCAATTCACAATCACAGAGATGAGGTGGTGGAGTCGAGGACCTCCCGCCCATTGCACACCGTTGGGACATACGTGCTGGCAGAGGCTGCAAAACAAAGCAGGACAGGAAATTCAGCATTAGTCAAATGGGTCACATAGGCAATGGCACAGATAATCTCACTATACTAGTTAAAATTAAGTTTAAAACTCATTTTTAACTCGGCATTGGAAGATGATAAGTGATTTAATGCTGTAGTAGGGAACATTTAAAATATATGTGCCTCAAAATTAGTTTGTGTCCTGGAAAATATCTCTACTAATGTCATATCTCATGGAGAGAGTTTATAAGCATAATTATTGTTGGAAGAAGTCACTTGTGGATTTAAAATCAGCTTTGGTAATCTATAAACTGGTTAAGACATAATGTGAAAATTGAAAGCCCACTGCAAATTTCTTAAAGACTGTTAAATTAATTACTTTTTCAATATCTTAATTAGCTTTTTCTCTCTGGGCAGGGATGACTCTTCCGTAGACCCACGAGTCATCTGTGAACTCCACTGCCTTAGAAAATGGTTTGCTATATTTTCATTGTTCAAATGGATAATCCCAGTGAAAACTCTAGTGAGACCCGGGGTGCTGAGTACTTGAAATTCATAGCAGTTTTCAGAAAGAAAGATGTAGCGTAAATGAAGTTGGGCAGCCTTTTACACCGTTGGCCTCTGTGCGTATCACCTGCGGCCTTGATTGTGTTAAGGCAGAAGGCACGTGGCTGTGGGGCCTAAGTGCCCGACTCTGGACACCTGTGTGCGCATGTGCACGTGTGCACACCTGCGCCTAGCGGTCAGGGATGTAATGGCGGCGTTACTTGGTGACGGCGATGGCGGAGCAGCTACGAGAGAAAGAGACCACGGAGAGAATGCCAGAGAAAGCCCAGAGAAAAGCGTGTATAGAGATTCAAAGGGGGCTCAAGTTGCTGTCTCCCAGCTGGTGTGCTTCCCCTAACCTGTAGGGATGGTGCCACGGGCTCCGACTTTCTCTTTCAAGTCTCTAGAACTGATGGTGAACCCACCCGGCCTGAGATGGTCGCAAAACAAGCTATTCCAAACGCATGATGCTGCTGCTGTTGACGGCAGGAGAACAACAGTGCCTGGTGTGAATACAATACGGTATGTATGCTTATTCTTTTTATGGAACTTGGTTTTCCCACATACGGTTCTTCGCTTTTGTGTTTCGGATGTTTTGTTTTAATGAGAAATCCAGGTACAGATAAGTTATATCTATTTTATCCTTAATGCTTTTTCTTTCCCCACACTGAATGAGGTCAAAAGTGACAAGCCCCATTCTCCATGAGATGGAGAGGTGGCCTTACAACACCTTTACGTCCTATCCCTTGGCCTGGTCATGAGGATATACCCTGGTCAGAGGGAGCTGATTCTTTTGGATACCTGATCGCAGCCCAGGTCAAACTGACCACTCAATGGTCTCATGCTCTAAGGGCACATCTCTTGGTTAATAGTAAGTAAACTAATTTCATGCTAAAGTGTTTAGGCTTAATCATAAATATATTTTACCCCATAAAATTGCATCTTTCATGGAGTTTCTTTACAAAGAAGCAACTAATTCTGAAATTTGGGATTACATGGCATTTGGTAGGAAACATTCACCATACATGGAGCACTGAGGTCTTTTGCATGCTCACTAGAGAAACTACAACCCTTCAGTTTACATCCGTTACTTCATTAGGTATGTGAGAAATCTATGAAGTCTAGTCTGTGACATACTAACTCTTGGATACTTTTTTCTTTTTCTCATCTTTAGATCTGGTTCAGTTTTTCTTTACAATATGAGCACACTAAAAGCTATAATATCTTTGGGGGCAAGGATGACATAATTTACACTTTCTGAAATTCGAGAAGGGAGACTTTAATACTGATCTGAGATAAACACTTGATGGAAAGTGATAGTGATGATAGTTCTAAATGTGAGTGCTTTATTTTATTCTTTGCAAAGTTTCTTCATATACTCTAAATCTGGCTTCACCAAAGGTCAGTAAAAAAGAGAAAAAAACAGGTGAAGGGAGTTCAAATCATCGCTCACTGGAAGCCTGGCAGAGCCCTCCAGGGTGTTCAGTATGTGCTCTTTCTGTAGCCTCCTGTATCCAATTATATTACCTTGACATCTCAAGGTGATAAATATAAACATTTCAAATTCAAGTGACCAAAGCATACCCAGGCCTATTTAAGTCTTCCTTTCCTCAGTGGGTGTTCAGACCATCTGGACAATTACCTAAACCAATAGTCTGACATTTATACTTCATTTCTCTTTTTGTCCTATTTTTCATGTCAAATTTTCCTTTAGGTCCAATAAACTCAATCTCTGCATCTAACTACTGCTGTCACTGAATCCACCATCTTGTATGAGAGCATCATTAGCTTTCTTTTGGTGACTGCAATAACTCCATGCTGGTATCTCTGTTTTACACTTGCTTCCTGCAATACATTCTCTGTACAGCAGAGAGTATCATTTTAAATGTAAATCACCTACACACTCCAGTGGCTTCCCTTTTTTGCACTTCTTACTCTGGTTTATAAACCCCAGGGTGATTTAGACCATGCCTATCCTTCAGAATTTACCTCATTCATGGTTTTTCACCCCTGCTTTTATGCTTTTGTCCTCAAACAGCTTATCTGTTTTGCAACTTGAGCTTTTTGCATCTATCTGGAAAGTTCTTCCCTCTTTAATCACATTACCGCATTTTAAAAGTCTAGCCCAGTTGTTGCTGCTTACTTTTATTTGTTTGTTTGTTTTTTGGTTAGTATCTTACCTCTTAAACTTTTGATTAGATAATATGCAAGGACTTTGTCATTTTTAATTATTTTGTCCCTATGCTGGTCATAGAATAGACTCTCATATATTTCCTGGATGTTTGTGTAAGTGGTTGCATTCCCAAGAAAGTGAGAGAACCAATGGAAGTTTCAAAAAGGGAGTAATCTTTTAACATGAAGAAATACCAGCAAATGTGACACCCATGGTCAACCTTGTTTGGGCCAGGTAGGCTTCAGGCTTCTCCAGCCACACTGTAACAATGATCACCACCGTCCCTGCAAAGAGGATTGGCTCAGGCTGAGAACACCCTATAGCAGGTGTGTGGCTTTTGACATTTTGGCTAATCTCTTCATCTTTTCTAGGATCAAGTTTTATTATTTCTGTGCAGGTTTTTCATTTTCAGAGATTAAAGAGGAATGATATGTCATGGGGATAAGTCTAGGAGAACCAGGGACTGGTAGGCTGATGCCCTTCTTTCTCTCCCTGGGATTAGTATAATACCCTTCTCTACATGTATTTTTAAAAAGTGTATTAGAAACCTACTGTGATATTCCCTATATTACTGTGGAACTTGATGTAATGCTCTTCTTAAAAGTGAGGTTATGATCTGCTTGCTCATTGCATTCAAATTGGATGTATTTGGACTAGGTAGGTAAGAAGTACAGGGTACACACAAAAGTAGCTACATGAAAAATCTGCAGGTTATAGTTTCAAGGAGCCTTCTATGTTTACCCCATGGACATCATTATGGAATTTCACAGCATAACTAAGTTGTCTACCTGCTTCATAAGGTTATTAAAAAGATCATCCCATGTAAGAATGCCTAAACTCTTTGAGAGAAATTTAAATTGTTACAAGGAATAACAATAGCAGAAATACTCACAAGATACTTTCAGCAGTTATTTTTTCCCTAGTCACTTTTTAGTGTATTGAAGGGAACTATAACATGCATTTTTCTGCTTCTCTTTTACTGTTTCATCTGTGACTTTTGCCAGTACATTTTATTATGTGAAAAATAGTCTCATTTTTGCACATGCTGCTGAATATAGTAGAGGAAATTATTGTTTTATGAGTTTGCTATCTCAATTACTTTGCCTTTCATAAATATTTTACATATGCCTCCAGTATTAGTCCATCTGTTATTCCCCAAGGTAGTAAAATATGTGGAAGAGCAAAGTACTATCATTTTTGCGTGTGTGTTTGTGATGAGCTTTTGCTATTATTCTACTGAAATTCTCACGAGATTTTTAATGGTGTAGGTTCAGCCCATTTTCTTAAGTGCGGTTAAGCAGATTTCTGTAATCATCCTTTCTGTCAAAAATAAGTGTGCAGGCTTATTTTTTACTTCCCTGGGACTAGGGGGTGAGTAGCAACTGTTACTCTAGGCTAAGGTGGTGCTTTATGCTACTCAAAGTGCAGGTAGTTGAAAATGACCTAATAATTCCTACCATTGGTTACAGATGGGTTATTCACACCCATCAGAAGGCATATTTTGCTTCATAAACTTGATGAAACATTGAAGATCAATGAATGCATCTAAGTGACAGCTCTATCTCACACAGTGAAATCCATTTCTCTTCCCCCAGTAATGCTCAGACTGGCCAAGCTTTGGAGAAAATGACTATTTTTTTCAGGTAACTGTGGCCTCAATCCATGCTAAGTATATTTATTTAATAGATTCTTATGGGTGCCTACTCTGTTGGTCAATTTAATGGCTCAGTTTTGGCTCCTGATATATTACACTAGACCCAGAAAAGAAAGAAAACACTTAAACAGAACAGACATTCCAGTTCGTTCCCATCTATTCCATTTCCTTACTCCTGGTGACCCCAAATAATTTTCCCAGCATGTTTAAATATTTTAATGCTGTGGTCATGGAATAAAATTTCCACCATATGTTTGTTGCCTTATCCTCCTGTTGTGTATTGAACCTGTGTTCTTACTCATCTTAACTTGCGCGACGGGGGCATCCCTCAGTCCCACTCTTGAAGTTCATTTGCTGACTAGTATATGCTACCTGGGCCAATGACATTACTAGACACTGATTTGATAGCTGTGGAAGACAGAGAATATGTTATTAAGAAATGTGGGCTAGATTCTCAGGGGGTGTTTCCCCTTTATTACCCATGTAACGGTCTACAACTATTAAAGTGGATTTAAGATGAAATACTATTCATTATGATGTGGAATAAAAATATAAATATACAAGATATAATTTCCAAATGTAGAATTAGAACTAAGGAAGCAAGGACTCCTTCTTTCAATGACTTATTTCTTATGATATAAGATTAGTGGAAAGAGAAAATACAGCATTGTACCTTTTTTATAACCCCACAATATAAGTTGGTTTTCTTATCAACAGAAATCCCACTTGGTTTTCAGCTAAATATCTCCATCTACTGCTGCCACATCATGCTGCCTTTCCAATCATGTTCTTTTATTTTTTTCTTCCACCCAAAAAAGTACAAAAGTGGAAATATAATAATTTATAAGTGAAAAGGCGCAATAATTATTTGTACATTTCTACTTGTTTTGCATTTTTCTTGCCTCCTCTTAGTTGCCCAGAATCTTAAGTTCTCATCTTTTCTCTCCAAATGTGTTTTCAGGCAAGAATCATAAGCTTATGATTCACCCCGAGGCTTGAGCAATTAAGAATTGTATGTACTACGGTGTCTAGTTGTCAAGGTATAAAGCCTAAAACTATTGTCAGGCTTTAGTCTTCTTTTCTAGGGGAGCTACACTTGATAGCTTCATTTTCAAGTTACATACAGTTTTTGAACACTTTATTGGCTTCCATTGGTACCATTCTGATATAAGCCACCACCATTGGAACTATGCAGTAAGTTCCTCCTCAGTGATCTTTGCCCATTCCCTGCCTTATATTCTGCTCACACAATTAAAATGATGAAATGATCCTTTTAAAGTCAGGTCATGTAACACCACTGATGAAACCCTTCCACTGTTTTCCCACTTCTTTCAAAACACAAAAGTCCTTAATAGTGACCCTCAGAGTCTATGCTCTGTGACCTCTCTATCCTGTCTCCTCACACTTTCACCTTTTTCATTTCCCTCTAGTCACATTGACCTCTGTGATGTCCGACCAACTTTGGGCCTTTGCCTTTTCTGTTCTCTCTACCTGGAAAGTCCTTCCCCTAGATATTGGCATGTCTCTCTTCTTTCATTTCCTTCATGTCTCTGCTCAAATGTCACCTTATCAGAGAGGCCTTTCCAGGACACACTACAGAAAAAAAAAATATGAATACTCTATCCCCAGTAAGCCTTACATGTTTATGCCCCGTTTTACTTTCCTCATATTACTTAATCACATATGTTTATTATT